GTGATAAAATGGCCTATTGGGAGTGAATCTGTGAGAACCAGCATGTGGCATGAGGGAAGCCAGTCGCCAGGCAGCCACACCTCTAGGATGGCTGATAAAGGATGCGTTAGGTCTCCTGGGAAACACCCTGCCTGTGCAAGGCTCAGGGAGGTGCCTCAGAGAAGCATTGTACCTGATTAAACTCTGGTAGGACTGGGCCTGTAGCTCAGGATTCAGGGTGTGTGCCTGCCTCTGGGATCCAGCTAACCCATGGCTAAGTTGTTCCATGGGGTCCTGAAATGATCATGCAATCTGATTACAGGATATAAAAGGGTGTTCTGGGAGGAAGATCTTATCAACATCTATCCAGCCCTGCTGGGAAGACATTAGAAGAGTCATCCCTCTTGAGTGTGAATCAGCGAACAAGCGTCTGATTTCTTCAACAGTTCCCTGAGCAGATGGTTAAGCTGCCAGGTACAAGGAGCTGGCTTCTTCTTATCTTTTAGAATTTCTTTGCTGAAGCGCTAAGGGGACATTGTGTGCCAGGCACTTTGTGTCGAAGTCCCCCCTGAGTCTCACATCTGTCCTGTGAAGAACTGTGGCCTCAGAGAGGGCAGAGAACTCATGCTTAGTCCTGGCCCGCAAATGCAGAGCTGGGATTTGAACCAAGGCTTGTCCAAACCTGGTCTGTGCTGGTAGTGGCACTGCGAAGAGATTCCTAGAGGGACTCTCACTTTCAATGCTACTAGGCAGACTTTCCCTAAGAAAAAAGACTTTCCCTTTCACGCCAAAAGCAATGTTCTTAAAGTTCTGAAAACGTTTTCATACATTGCCTAACTATGCTCCATCAAAGTAAGACAAAGGGAAGTTCTAAATTCACGTGCTTCACAAAGTCAGACACAGATTACTGGGAGGAGTCCTGGAGCCACTAGGCGGGTTGGGAGGCACAGGTGCCATGTATGCCACCGAGGGCACACCGGGAGGGGTCGACAGGACTTGGAAAACCAACTGCAGAATTCACGTTTCTTTCTCTTAGCACCTGGTGCCCCACCCGCACCTGTCCTCTCGGCCTTTCCCTTCAGGCATGCTTTGCCCCCCTTCAGAGCCAGCCTGTGTTAGCTCCCGAGGAAGCATGTGCTAAGCAGAACTTTCTCCAGCTGGTATCCTCCTGGTTCCTGCTCTTTGAGGACAAGACTTGTGCCTGCCTTTCTGACCCATGTGAAGGTGGAAGCCAGGTCCGTGAGACGTCAGGCAGGCTGGCTGCCCTCACACATAAAGAGGAAATAAGCTGGTTGGTCATGGCTCTAAATAAGAATAAGAATAAAAACTATCTAGCCCAGGGCTGACACATACTGAGACATTCCACTGTGTGACTTATGTAAAACGCTGGCCCTTGACAGTGTATGGAGCCCATTCAGTGTTTGTGGACAGAGAAAAGATAAAGTGAGAAAAGGCACAGAAGGAAAACAGGCCAGCTGCAGAGACCTTTCATCAGGGCCATCCCCCGCCTGACTCTGCAAAGTTTGCCCAGCTGCTCACCCTGCCTGCTGGGGTCAAGCCCTGCTGCCCCTAACTCCCCTGATACTCAATCTTACCCACGGCTGTAGGATCCCCTCCTGGCTCCGATCAAGCAAAGCTTGCCTGCTTCAGCTCTCCTGATACAAAACCAATGCTTCTAAGCCACTGTCCTGAGTCTCACCCAAGGCCCCCTCTGTACTCAAAGGCAATTAGCCATTTCTCGGCACCTGGAAGTCCTGAGGGTGAATCAGTGCAGGTGTGATCCCGTCCCTAACCCTGGATGGGCAAAGGCCTCTTTCTGACTCATGTGGAAACCTGAACCTGTGCAATGTAGAAAGCAAAGACCCCAGGGATAGTTGAACCACAGACAGCCAGTATTGTCCCCAGATGTCGTGGATCCAGGGCTGTGCCCTTCCCCATGGCCAGTCCTTAGGGCATCCTCCTTGGGAGATGAGCACTCCTATGACCATGCTTTTACATCAGAGAGGAGGGGTACAGCAGATTCTTTTTGGGGAGGGGGGCTATCAGGAATTGAACTCAGGACCTTGCACTTGGCAGGTAGGTACTTGCGGCACTGAGCTATATCCCTGGCCCCTACACCAGATTCTTGAACATCTTAAACATGGCCGAAACAAAGAATGTGAGCTGTCACATTCGCTATTTTTCCTATCAATCCCATTATTAAGATGGTATTTTGGACAGAGTGGATTAAAGAAAATATAGTTGAAGACAGCTCTGGTTTTTTTTAACTTTTAATGCAATCACTAGAACATTTAGAATGTGTGACTTGGACTGTGCACCTACGGGGTGGTGCGGAGGTTGAAGACTACCCTCCACCAGAGAGCCAGGCTCCAGACTGAAGTCTATCAGTCTGTAAAGCCTTGCACTTTATTCCTCTGCTGAAATAATGCTTCTATGCTGACATGAAACTTGTCTTCAAATGTGATAGGAACCAAACAACCGTGTCCCTGGGGAAGGAGGAAATGTGCGGTATTTTTCTATGAGTAGGTATATAATGCCAGGGGAACCTTTCTTTTCTGGATAAGAAAACTTAATAGGATGGGAGCCCTCTGTGTCCCAGACCCCTCACATGCAGGAGATGGGTGGAATTCAAACCCAGGACTTTCTGATTCTAAAGATTGCCCTCTTCCCCTCCAGTCATTTCCAAGCTCCCATATGCTAAAAGCCAGAAGGACACTGGGCTCAGGTTCAAACAAAGCTGAAACCCAGCTCCCTGGGCAGTGGTGACCACAGTCCATCCCTAAATGGGATGACAGCAGGTGCACAGAAAGGCAAGAACACCTTGGCCTTCCAGCTGAGAGGGCTTGTAGGGAGTCCAAGGCTCTCACCCTGCTTCACAGTGGGGAAGCTGGACCCCCAAAGTTGTGCTGCTCCTCCTTCCTGCTCATACAGGTAGGAGCTGAGCTGGGAAGTCAAGTTTACTCTGCTATCTGTCTACACTTAATCCCCTTTGAACCTGTGTTTGGATCCTGATGTCATTCTCTAGTGGCCTTCACCTCTGCGGATCTCCTATATTTTCTCAGAACCCAGACCCATCTGCAGGAAGGAGCCTAGTGAATGTCTCTTCACTCACTGGCTGGAGCCAAGTGTTTGTGGACCCCAGAATTTGAATATGCAGTTTTCTACTGGGAAAACAAAACAACAAAAATGAAAGCACATTTAAATGGTTTATTGAATCATTTAGCAATTCAGGAATCAGGGCGGGACCACACAATGCTAGCACTACTCTAGGAATGGAGGGGGCAGAAACTTCTATGAAGTGCTCACAGGAGGAAGACAAAGCACCAAGGGGGACTGGGTAGAGTGGAAGTTTCCCAGCCAGGGTCAACTTGGAGGTTCCTGAATGGTGACGTCTCTGATTCTAATGCATTGTTTTCCTTGGGCTTTGGCTTATTCCAGTAGGAACTTAAAATATCAGAGCCCCTGATTTTTTGTTTGATTTTTTTGTTTGTTTGTTTGTTTAGCAATTCCAAATTTTGGTTTCCATTTTCCTTATCTTTCTTGCATTTAAAAGTAATGCCAGCCCCATGGAGAGATGGCTCAGTGGTCTAAAGCACCTACTTAGAACAAGCTTAGCAAAGCACAGGGACTGTGGCTCAATCCCCAGCATCACATGCCAGCCAGCCCCGCCCCCTGGTGGGCTGAGCTGCCCCCCCCACATAAATAAATAAAATAAAAAAAATTAAAAAAAATAAAGGTAATGCCTACAGACCACCCTCAAAACAACTGAGATCGTTAGATTTAGGGTTATAAATTGGTCCTCAAAAGTGATTATTCATTTCTGTAAACGAGCTAGGGCTCTATCCTATTAATATTCATCCTGGCCCAGGTTGTGCCGCTCACTGTAAGAGAACATCTGCAGTGAGGGAGGCGCAGAGATTTAATTTTCATAGTTCTGGAAGCTGCAGAGTCCCGTGTCGAAGGGCTTGCATCCAGTGAGTGCCCTCCTTTTGCTGACATCCTTCAGCAGAGGCAAGAAGTTGCAAGGGAGAACCAGACTGGACTGAGCTTGCCTGTAGAACAAGTCTGCTCCGGTGACTGTGACACTAGTCCAGCGGGGAAGGGCAGCCCTGAGGGCCGAACGACCTCTTCAGGGTCCCGCCTCTCTGCGCTGCTGCGCTGGAAATTAAATTTCTAACACGTGAGTCGGTAACACATTCAAACCGTGGCAGCCTTAGCCCCCTTGCTTCCTTGGACACACATCCAAGGCTCCAGCGGGGCTGCTCAAGAAAGGCTAGGTGAATTACAGGTAGCTGTCATGATGGCCTCGATAAGCCCCAAACAGATGCTGAAAAAGAAGTCAAGAATCCCAGCCAGCCCTCCTGTCCATCATCATTTCTCTCAATGGCGTGAGGTTTTAGTGTTTAATGAATTCGCTTTCACACAGATCCACCGGAGAAAGGAGAGAACGGAAGTGTGATGTGAGGACTTCCGGTACCTCAGTAGCTTCTGTTTCCCCCTACAGACTGTCCAAATATCTTAAATGGGGCTTCGCAGCTCGAAGTGCATCGTGAATGTCACCGAGCTCCTGGCAGGCAAATGAGAAATGAAATGTCACCTTTCTGGTCTAATGAGGCAGTTGACCGTGAAGTCTGAGCTCACTGAGCCCCTCTAAAAACTGTCGCCCCATGCTCCCGACTTGCGTAGCTGTGAGTCTAGACTGAGGAGACCCACAGCACAGGAAGAAGGCGACAGTCTCTCCAAATTGTGGTTCAGAGTGAGACCCGGATGCAAGCCAGAATCCAATCATGGCCTCGTAGGACGTTTGACTAAATGTTTGCTATGATTTCTTGGGGGAAAAGTCTAGGAAACTTAAATTTGCTTAACATACACGCTCAGGGGTCTAAAGTACAATATTGACAAGTCCTATCCAAAGCCGGGAAGTTTGCATTTAGAAATCACAACGCTCAGTTACGACACTGAGTGTTTTAAATCCTGGTCAGCCATTTGGGTTGTAACTATAAAGCTGTTCACCGGCCTTACGGAGTCCCGCAACACAGCCCCTTCCTGCAGCTGCACGTACTGATTTAGCGCAGCCCTATTTCCGCAGCATGGATTGTTTCTTGCCCCTCGCACTCTGTGCCCTGGTGCACTGTGGGACCGAGGCTCCAACCTCGCAAGAGGTCACCTCCTCACCTCTTCTGTCCCGGGGCTGCAATGACTACGATGTGCTGGCCACCGCAGACCTGGCTCTGCAGCACATCAACAGACACAGGGAGGACGGTTTTGTGCTAAGTCTCTACCGCGTGTACGATGTCTGGGAGCACAAACAGGTACGAGATGGCTCCCCCTGCTGGCACAGGCGTCTGGGCAGGGTGCGAAGGCTGAGCGAAGGTTGCTGGGAACCCTGAGGAGCCTTTGGGCAGATGCTTTCCAAATGGGGAACCCTGCTGAGAGCATCCTGCTGCTCTTCTGCGTGGTGGGTGTGCTGCAACGCTCTTGTTCCTGGGGACATCCTGCAGAGACACCTGCCCGAGGCTCAGTGGCTTATAAGGAGTCTCCAAATGCACTGTATTCTTTGGTTTTCTTGTAGAGCAGGGTGATTTTGTCCAGTCTGCAAGGGGGTCCGTATCAACTGGAACCTGCTGTGTTTCTCCACCCTCCCCGCAGGCCAGCCAGGGATCTCTCTTCTACCTCACGATGGAAGTGTACGAGACCGACTGCCACGTGCTCAGCAGGAAGGCTTGGAGGCACTGCACGAGAGTGCTTGCAGAATCAGCAAGTGCTCATTCTTAGGGGCTCTCTGGGGGGGAAACGAGCTGGGAAACAGAAGCTTGCTCCACACCTCCCATCTGTCCAGTGTGCCTCTTTCTAATTTCCTGGCCAGGGTACCCGTGTGCTTATTTTAAGCTATAGAAAAAAAAAAAGTTTAAGTAAAGGGCTTTCCGGGAAATCCCTTTGGGATAATATTGACCAGAATTGAAAAGTTGCCCTCACATGATTTTCTACCCCCAAGATTCACCTGTAGTCTCTGAACCAGTCTTTAAATTGTGAGAAAAATAACTGGATAAAGATTCGGGTGTGGCATTAAGGTAGATAGCTGGTACAATGGAGGGGGGCTCTTTAAATTTGTTTTATTTTGCTTCAGTGAACACTAATAGGAGGCTTAGGCTGAAAAGAAAGCGATGGCTTATAGGATGGGGCTCCCAGGATTACAGTGGAAGGGTTTCCTACACTTATGGAGCTTACATGGCCTCAGAATTGATTTTTTTCCAAGATGACCTTTGAAGACATTTGAAAATAGTTACTTTTTCCTTTGATTTCCATTACCCTGGAGGCATTTCCCGTAACTAATAGGAACTATGCAGCATGAGCACGGGACAGTGACACAAGCATTCAGATATAAACTTGGCCATCACGATGTCTTTTCTAATCACTTACTTAACCAAGTTAGTCACCTGCATGGAATTTTTGAAAAGCACAATCCACTTGCCCTGTTGTGTATCACATTTGTTATGGTGACACTAATGACGGTGACACATACACTAGCAAGTGCACACCAACTCTAGTAGGATAGCAGCTTATTTCTCACTCACGCAGCATTCAAAACAGACATTCCTGATGGGAGGGGCTTGGCCCAGGGGGAAGCACAGACAGGGGTTCCTCGGATGCTGCGACTCAGACTCCTGGGTCCCGTGGCCACATTTTCTTTGCTCGCTTCCATTGAGGAATGAAAGAAAACTAGCATGGAGGACAAAAAGTGTGCCAGGATGGAAGTGGTCACATGTCACCTCTTGTACTCACCTTCCTGGGGTTAGAACTCAATTACTCACCCATCATTGTGAGGGAGATGGCAAGTATAGCTGACTGTGGCCCAGGGAAAGGTTAAACAGTGGATGAGCTGCAGTGTTTCCCCGGCCCAAAGCACAGGAATCTGATTGTATGTTTCTCACTACTTTAAAACAAAGTCTGCCGCAGCATGGGAGGGGCAGTTTAAGGCATCGGGATTCTCTCCGCTGTCTCATAAAATGCGTTTGTTGGTTACAGGCTTCTGGTCAATGCAAAGCAATTTTTTATCAGAACAAGCCAAAAGAAGTTTCTTATCTACCTGCTTATAACTGTACTCTTCTCTCAGGTAAGAGATTGAGTTGATTTTGTTAATTTTATTTTATTTTCCTTTTAAAGAAAATAAAACAAGAAATGGCAAGAACAAAGACAATAACAAAGCAACATAAAACAGTAAAAATGGGACAGAATTCCAAAACAAGAATAGAAAATTAACAATGGTTATTATTCATGTATGGTTATCTTCATATTTGTGGCTCAGCTCGCCAGATGTAAGGATGGAAGACTGATCAAACAATTAATTAAACATTAACTCTTCCTTTCAAGAAGCCTTAATTTTTTTCATTGTCCTTTTTATTTTATTTTAAAGTCAGTATAGAAATAATAGATAAGACATTTGAGATGATAAATTTTGTTAATTTTAATAAGAGATTTGTTTTTGAAAGGCATTTGACTGGGGATTTGTCAAGAAGGTATAAGGTTCCTCACATCCTTACTTTTTATTCATCCTGACCTCAGTTGGTTGTTTCATAATTCCAGTGCTTGGGCCAAGGAGAGAGCTCAGTGACATAAGAGACTGCCTGGCAAGCACAAGGTCCCGTGTTCAATTCCTAGCCCAAAAAAATAAATAAATACATAAAAAATCTCCAACACTTGCCTCACTACTAAAACCCAGCTTACATTCACTTCAGTCACACCCACACTTCTACATTTACGTCCTGTACCAGCTCGCACATTGTCAGGCCGACGTAAAGGGTTCAATCCCTCCAGTCGGTCCCAGGCTCCTTTCTAGCTGTCCTCATATTCCATCCCACTGGATGCCTGTTATCTGAACACACCCTGCGCTTTCTGCACTCGGCCTCTTGCTGGTGTCTCTCCCTCCAAGGTGATGGCCTCCGCCTCTGCCTTGGAACTCAGGCCTCTTTAAGGAAGGCTGCCGGCATTGCTTCTTCCACAGTGCTGTGCATTAGAAAGGCGTGACGTGCTCCTGTTCTGCATTCCTATCAGCTTTGGCTAAACCACTCATGGAGCGCAGACCGTACACTCATGGCCCGGATGTGGAGTCATGTATCTCCTGTTGTGTAGAGTGTTTTGTCCCTCCTTCTCCCTACCACACACTTGCTAGCTCCTGCCAAGATTAAGCGTATCGATATTGTTGGATAGGGGCCAGTGAGATAGCTCAGTGGACTAAAGTGCCTGCTTAGTTGAGCTGAGGCAAGCGCAGAGTCCACATTTCAATCCCTGGCACCACATTGCAGTGCCAGCCCCACCCCCAGTGCAGCTGCACCAGCCAGAGTCTGGGCATAGTGACGCATGCCTGTAATCCCAGCTCTGGGGAGGCTGAAAACAAGAGGATCTCTATGAGTCCAAGCTGTGTAGTGAGACCTTGAAATAACCAACTACATAGTATATAAATGAATAAAATATTGTTGGATAAATGAATAAATTGTCAAAGAATAAGGCTAAAACTAATGACCTGTGAAATATGCCCATAGATCCATTCTTTTGTTTATTTATTTATTTTTGGTACTGGGGATTGAACATGGTTCCTTGTACTTGCCAGGCAGGTGCTCATGCCACTGAGCTACATCCCTAGCTCATGTGCATTCATTCTCAATCTGCCTTTTAATGAGAGGAATTCATGGAAAGCAAACATTCAGCGTGGGCAAATAAGATATGGCTACTTGTCAAACTAGTATGTGAATGTGACTGCCCTGTGGAGCTTGTTGATTCTTTTTTGTTTGATTGTTTTGTTTAGTTTTTTTAAGAGAATAATAGCAAGGGAAAAAATTAGAAAACAATACAGAATTTCACTAAACAAAAAATAAGAATTCAATAATGTTATATTACATATTGTTGTCTTCAAATTAGTTGTTCAGATTACCAGATATAAGCATGCAAAATTGGTAAAAAAAAAAAAAAAAGCTGTAAGAAATTAAAAAGGAGAGAGAAAGAAAAGTTTAATCATTAACTGTTCATTTCAATAGACCAGCAGAAATCAGCGGTACAATCATCCAAGTTGTCCTCTACTTATATGTAAATATATTTTTTCCCCTTCCATCTTTCTTTCTTTTGTCCTTTCCCCCATCTCAGTTGTTTCTTCCCTTTGAACAGATTCTTTCTCTTTCACAGTATCCATTGTGCCTTTTAGATTTTATTTATTCTTTGAGGTTCTTACACTAGTGAGACAATACGCTGCAGGTTTGATTTATTTCACTTGTAAGTACAATCTTCAGTTGCATCTATTTACCTATAAAAGCCTTGAATTTAGCTTTTTTATAGCTGAATAATACTCCATTGTGCAAAAATACCACATCTTTTTTTATCTACTTCTCAGTTGATGGGCATTTGGGTTGTTGCAAGATTTAACTATGACAAATTGTGCTGCTATAAACATGGGTGCACGTGTATCATGGTGGTATGATGGTTTCAGTTCTTTTATACCCAGGAGAGGAATAACTGGGTTGCAAGGGACCTCTAATCATAGTTTTTTGAGGCATCTCCACACTGATTTCCATATTGGCTGCACTAGTCTGGGCTCCCACCAACAGTGGAGAAGGGTTCCTTTTTCCCTGCAGCCCCTCCAGCAGTTGTTATTGGTTGATTTCTTGATGATAACCCCTGTGGACCTTGATAAAGGGCAGCTTCTTGTTCTGTTGCCTGGGCAGGGCCAGCGATCCTGTATCTCCAGCATGCTCCAGGGCTCAGCCATGCTCCTGGTTCCTTTGAATAACAGCACACCAAGACCAGGGTTGTACTAGCTGCGGCTTAAATTTCTGGTGTGGACACAAGACTTACCTAAGACAAATGAGAGAACAATGACTACTGAGTGATCGCAGCCCTTTCACGGCAGTCCTAGTGATCAGCCTGTTGATGAAAGAGTGACCATTGTGCACACTGCCCCCCATAACCTCCCTCAGGTCCCATGTATACAATTAATCAAAATGGCATATTTTCTTGGGAAACACAACTTCAAGAAAACCTTCCTAACTTGATTTTTACATTAGGTTTGCCAATGCCCACTCCTCTCAAACAGAAATTTGATTGTCTTAGTCACATGATTCATTCTCTCACATCATGCAGTGATTTGACCAATTTTGTTTTCCAGTTCACTGACATTTTCTAACCAAAGAGGGTGCATGTCTACCTGTTATTATGTCATTTGCTTATTCTGTAAGCATCTATGAAACACTCACTTTATTATTTCATTTATTTATTTGTTGTGGTACCAGGGATCAAACTTAAGACTTTGCGCTTATGCTGCTGAGCTATCTCCCTGGCCCTAAGCCCCAACTTTGTATTAGAAATTTTGGTAGGTATTCAGGACTAAAGACAAATAAAACATGGCAGTAATGAAATCCCAACCTGTTAAAGGCACCCAATTTACTCTAAGAGACAATGCTAAGGAAAGACATTCAACTAATGCACATGGCTATCTTATGTCAATATGCTGTATTATAGATCTCTGAATAAAATTCCTAGATTAAGTAAATCTGTGTGCATTGAAAACGATCTTACTTTGATTTCTTTCTTTTTTCCAAGTCAACATTGATTTTTTTTTGACAAGGATACTGAGGATGTTGCAACTATCACTTAAAATAGGTCCTTAGGCAATAGATTTAAATTAATTTACTTTTTTTTTGTATTTTAGGGAAGGGTCTACAGGGTGTTCAGAGTCTCACTACTAGGTCAGACTTGTAGTGATCCACCTGCTTACAGCCTTCCAAGAGCTGGGATTACAGGCACATGCCACCATTCCTAGTCTCAATTGCTGTCTCAGTGTGCTCCGGGGGCAGGACCAGCACAGCAGGCCTAGGGATCAAACCTCCAGCCCCTGCACCTGCTTGCAGGTGCTTTAATCTGCTGAGCTACTTGGCTGGCCTTTTAATTTGCAATTTTATTTGGTGTTAATTTTTTAAAACATCATCTCAAAATAGATGCCCAAATAATGCCCTCATGATACATTTTTACAATACATTCAGATGTTTCATAAAACATAATGGTATTTCTTTTTGAATTATTTACATGATGCTGCTCATTATAGAAAACATACTGAAATAGCTAACTTCTTTCCTAGAAAATATTTTTCTTCCTCCATCCTTGCCAATGCTCAATGTTATCCTTTTTATCAAAGTTTTGCCTCTGTTGTCATCACACAATTTGTGACTATAGGACTGAAAGTCAATAATATTTTTAAACTGTTCTCTTTGGTCTCAACAGGTGCTACCGGCAAGATCCGTAAGCTGTGCCATGGATGTTTAGCCTGCAGAATCATTGACTCCTCACATCCACAAGCTTTGGAAGCAGCCACTAAGGCTCTTGCGAAATACAACAGCGAAAGCACCTCGAAGCAGTACTCACTTGTCAAAGTCATCAGGGCATCCATAAGGGTAAGGCTGAGATGCAGGGGTCAGCCACACAAGCCACATGTCTCATAACTGCCGCTGTAGGTCCCTAAACTGAGAACCCAAGAGCTGTCTGCCCCATGCCCTCTTCTTGTAGACCTGATGCACCTGCAGCACTGGTTCAGTTTTTCCTGTTTCACAGAATGTTTCAGGAGTGGTGTGACATCCTTTTCCTTCATCTACCTTAAGGCAAGAGAGGGAGACAGATGTATCGTCTCACCGGGAGACTGCAGATGCTCCCTGTTGGCTGCTGTGTGCTTCTGGTTGCCTAGCAGTGCAGCAGTTAGCAAGAGGGCTGTGTCTCCAGGTTAACGCCCAGGGCAGAAGATGACTTATGGACATTAGGGGAAGTGGATATTCACGGGTATTTGGATTATGTTGATATTCCATATGAAATTAATCTAAATGACAGATCTACATGTGGAAAAATAAACTCAGTAAGGGAAAATGTTTAGGGCCTATTCAAATCCTTCAGAAAAATGAGAAAGATGTGGTGATGGAGTTTTCTGAACTGGAGCATGACGATGTGAGGGACCACAGATGTGTGTGTTGTCAAGGCCTCCGGGGATGTCATTTCTGTACAGTGATGCTGTCAACCTGTGTCTGTTCATCATATGGGAAGGTGCCATTTTAATGTCCCAACTCCTGTCTTGTAACAGCGGCTGCCTGTTGCTGCTACTTACCGTGTGCACTATCTAATCAGAGAGTCGCCGTGTAACAGATCCCAGTCCAGCAACTGCTCACTCCAGCCCTCTGACTCCCCGGTGAGTGTCTCTGAAATGCCTTAATGTAAGGTGTGTGCTCACAGCTTGTCTCTGCTTGTTTCCCACTAATTATACAAAGTAGGATCAAAATACACAGTGAATGTCTAGTTAGCTTGTTTTTTTAAACGACATTTTGAGACGTGGTCTCTTTATATAATGGTATTACTGAGCCATAAAGAAGAATACACTGGAGACTCGTGTAGGTCAATGGGCACAACTTGAGTCTCTACTCATAAGGGAAATAAACCAGATGCAAATGTGTCAATGTTGTCTTGTCTCCCTGGCGTGAGAAGCTGAAAGAGTAAACGTGATCCAAAATGTACAATAGATACTGTAAGATGGGAAGAAACTTTAGAAAGAAAAAGAAAGTAGTTTAGGGTAAGGGAAAGAGGAGAAAGGGAAAAGCAACAGCGAAAAAAAAATACATTTATCAAAGATAGTTACCATAGTTACGCTTCAAATTTCTGTCAGTTCGTTGAAAAGATAGATCTGCACTAATATTGTTTGGCCAATTAAATGCGAATATCTCGTACTCTGAGTAACTGATTTAAAGATAACAATACACAATGGATTAACAATTGTTACCCTCCTATTACATTGTTTTTGGAATTTTGTGTCTTTTTCTTTAAAATAAAAAGAATACACTAAATGGAATAGAAAAAAAGGAAGGCCGGCGGCCATTAATGCCCCTGAAGTACATCCTCTTGCTTCAGATACTCTTGTCTCATCATTCATGCTACTTCCCGAAGCAGTGCTGGAAGTCCTCTTTCATGAGTGTCTTTCCAAGGTATGATGAAAAAAAAAAATACGGTGACTGCTGTGCACCCAGCCGAAAGGTGGAGTCATCGCAGTGCGTCCTTGCCCACCTGGCACTGGGCACCGGGCAGTTTGTAGCTCCTCCCCAAAGGCAAAATGACTATGAAAGGTAAATGTTTGAATTGACTCAAGTCACCAAGACACCCGCAGTGGCACAAGACACTCAAGGAAGCCTTCCAGCACTGCTTCAGAAAGTGCAAGTGCTGAGGGGAAGTGTGAGCTCGAAGTGAAGAAGAATAGTTTGAAGGACTTAATGGCAGTGTGTCTTTTCTTTCTGCTCTATACAAAGAACTTTCCACTAGTCAGAATTTTGTTCTACAAGAAATACGGAGTTTGGAGCCAGGGACATAGCTCAATAGAATAAGCGCTTGCCTGGCAAGCACAAAGTCCTTAGTTCAATCCCCAGTACTGCAAAAAAGAAAAAAATGAAAATAAGAAATCCTGAGTTTTCCATCAGTGATGGTGATTTAGCCTCCCTCATATAATCTCTTAGTAGTGATAATTTGGAGAGAAGGGGCCCAGGGGCTGCCTAGCACATAGTAGGACTATCAATACGTTAGTTGCCCATGGGTACACAGGAAACAAGTTGATTTCCATTTATGTTAGCTAATCATTTTCCTCATGTGACTTTGCATTCTTTCTTTTAGCCTGCTGGTCTTTGCTTCGGTGTTCTGTTTCTGTACGAGGGTCTTTCTAGACCTACCATTGGGGGTTGTGACCTCTTTGAATCACAGGTATTTTCCAATCTAACAGCCTTCCTTTGAAGGAAAGCAATTATCTACGTTCTACTTAGCGCCCCTGCCCCTTTACTTTTCTCGAGACCCATGACCACCACTTTAGTTAAACCACCCGAAGGCCACATCTGCATGGTAACTGGTGTCAGAGACCCATCAAACATTTTTTGACTCACAGTGCAGTCCCACAAAATCACCAAGACACACTCAGAGACAGAGCTACTAGCTTTGATGGCTCAGGCCTCTAAGGTATTAAATTCACTGTTCTAAAGTAACCTTACCTTAAACCCCAGAGAAAAATTATTTCCACGAAACATTCAATCCCTCTCCAGAGATATTCACAGAGCATGTACTGTAGGACAGTCAGGAGCTCCCATGAGGGCTCCAGGCCTGCTCTGCCCCTGTTAACTGCATGCGCTTTGGCACTTAGCTGCCCATCTGAGATGGGACAGCAGCACCCACCTCCTTCAGCTCCCTCAAGAGAAAGGAATGAGAAGACCTGGGTGAGGGGTGCGGGACAGGGTCTGGTGCAGAATATATGAGAAAAGATGCCTGCTTCTCCCGCCATTGGGAGCAGAGACAGCTCCCTGGCCAGAGGCCAGCTTAGCCCAGTAGTGGACATGGCCAGCTTTCCCCACAGAACTCTGCATTTGAAAACATTCTTGTTTCAGGGTCAGGTGCCCAGAGCTGAGAACCCTTCCAGCTCCCCCACCAAGCCTACCCCACTGGGATCCATCCAGTACATCCTTGACTTGAATTATACAATAGCCAAAGAGTACCAGGAGTTCGAGTACCGCCCGGAGACCATCCCTGAGATGCTGTTTCTGACCACCGATCCACAGGGAATCACGCTGGATATCTCCTTCCTCTTTCCGGGCTCCCAGCAAGAGAAGCTGGTTGTTCTGCCCTTCCCCAGAGAACGGTCCTCTGCTGAGTGCCCCGGACCTGAACAGCTGAACTCATATTGGACCATCTATAAGTGAGAATCAGAGACTGTCCCGTGGGTGTCCTATAAAAGATGAGGTGTGGTGTGGACGGGACAGAGAGACAGAGGGCGCGGATGGCGAGCGGCTAATAAAGTGTGTCTCTCTGCTTGTTCCCTGTCTCCACATGCTGCTCAGAAGTGGAAAAATGACACCATACTCCTCCCTTGGGCTGCGCTGACAGGGGGCTGCGTCCTCCAGGCTGTGCCTTCCTGTCCTGTGGACGGAGCCTGTCTGTCTTCAGCTTCTCCCTCTTGCAGGGAATTTATCCTTTCCGAGTACACTGCTGCTCCTAGCTTTCTGCCCTTCCCTCGAGGGATGCCAGCCCCTGAGGCTCAGTGGAGGTGCCCTCTGAACCCCACACGCCCTGCCTTTCTCATCGGCCTGCCAGTGTCTGGGCCTTGTGGGTGAGGTGGCTCACTGAGAAGGGCACTGGGCAGACAGCGTGCGTGTCCCTGTGCCAGGCTGTGGGGACACCAGCCCACAGAGGCCCGCGGTACAGCAGGCACACTCGGAGCAGACATCGAGGGGCCAGTGTGGCCATTAGGCCCTTAATGAGACCTTGTCTCAAATTTGAAATTCTTTGCCTGTGTT